ACAATGCCATAGCTTAGAGTTCAGGACCAAATAAAATGAGGATAGCAAGCTGAGTACCATCATTTTTCTCTGCTTCCTAATTGTATATGCAATGTGACTAGCTGTCTCATGTATCTGCAATTATGTCTTTCTCCCATGAGGGACTGTACCTTCAAATTGTGAGATGAAACCTGAATTCCCCATTCTCTAAGTTGTGTTTTCAGGTAGCTGTCAAAGCAACAAGAAAAATACCATTACAGATGATAGGTACTGAAGAGTGGGGATCATTTCTGTGATACACCTAACCCTAGTGGTTCCCAGCACACTGTAGGATTGGTTTCTGGGAAGAATATGGACAATTTTGGAACTTTGGATCAGAAAACCCTTAGCATGCCAAAGGTAGATCTTAATACACCATTCTAGTAGCTGTTAGGAATTATAAGCATGATGAAAAAAATGCCAATAATGGAAGCCCAGCTCATGAGATTTCAGAGAACAAGGAGTCTGTCAGGAAATGAGCTAGATCTAACAAGTAATGTTATATTCTGGAAAAGAATCTGGCTGAGTTCTCCCTGTATCCTGTGAATGGGAGAGAGGTTGAATTAAAAAGCAATAGACTAATGTAGACAGAGTTTCTGTCCTGCCCTGTCCTGTTGCCTTTCAGTCCCAAAATGAACACACAGAGGTTTATATTAATTATAAACTGTTTGTCCAATGGCTCTGGGATCTTTTTGGGTAGATTTTTCTTAATTATTAGCCACTTTCTATTAGTCTATGTATCTCCACAATGTCTTGGCTTATGGGAGAATGTCCTAGCCTGTTTCTTCTTTTGCAGCTACATGCTGTCCCTATTGTGACTCACTCTCTGTGTTCCCCTTCTCTGAATTCTCATAGTTTGGTAACCCCACCTATAATTCCTGTCTGACTACATCCTGCCTGTTCATTGACTGAAGCAGCTTTGTTCATCAACTAATAAGAGAAGCATATATTCACAGCATACAGAAGGATATTCCCCCATCAGCTCCTCTTTTCTGTCTAAATGAAAAGTGAGGTTTTAACTTTAACATAGTAAAAATATGTATAACAAAACAGTTATCAAGCAAGAGTTATAGTTAACAATATTTAGTCTACTAACATTTGGCAAAATTTAAAGAAATTATTTTATCATCGATCCTGTCTTTGTGAGTCTAAAGTTTTTATGTGTAACTTATCTTTTATCATAACTAAGGAAAACAATAATCATAACTCTCTGTTCCCAACTCCATCAAAGGCCCCAAAAGGATAATATATAAGCTCTAGAATTGACAGAGCCATCTCACTGCCTGGATAGTCACCCAAAGTTCTTCTGTAACATTGGGACATCCATCTTCATCCTATAAGCCCAGAATGTCTGGCAGATTTTTTAATGAAGCAAGAACCTTGAAGGACTATCCTGTCCTTTGGCAAGTTCAGCAGTCACTTTTATTTGTAGCCTTAGTGTAATGGTTTGCAGGTTTGTGGCAGGTTTGTAAACTGCTTGTCCAGTTTGGACAGTGTGATGTCAAACAGTCCAGGCAAGAGCAGTTTCTTGTCCAAATGGGTATTTCTGCCATGTTGAAGGCACACTCCATAAGGAGTTTCTTAGATGCCCATCTTCCCCTCTGACATAATTGGTGTTGCCAGGAGCAGTTGTGTCTCATTGTCATGAAAAACCCTAATAAAACATTTTAAATGCCATATTCTGTAGGTCTTTGAAAGGTTTTGTAGAATGCCTAACCATTTGAACTATATCCCTTTTTATTTAGAAAACCTAACTAACATAAGTTTTGACTATTATAGGTGATTGTCTATAAATTTGTATTTTTAGTTATATAAACATTTTAAAATGATCTGTATAAACACAATATCTAAACAAGAGTAGGATTATATGTATAGCGAAATTGACCTTAAATTTATATCAATAAACCAAAAGCCATATGCATTCACTTCTATTTCATAGTCCTTTTTTTCTTTAGAAAGAGGTTGACTGTGATCATTAACCATTTGTAACCAACCTCATTTAAATGAAAACAAACATTTATAAACAACATTTGGGAATGTGGGAGTAGTTCTCTCCAAACTACTTCTTGTTGTTGGGGGTGCTGTCAACCCCAAGGGGATCCTGAGAAAATCCAGGACCATGGCCAAATCTTGGCTGTTGTAGTCTGAGAGGCTGCATCACCTCAACTGTTTTGGATGTTGGATCACCTGGGCCAGTGCTTCTGGGGGTCTTGCTTGGTCTAACCGTATTAGTCTGGAAGGGATTCATAGTTTTTAATTTGTGCAAATAAAATCAGAACTTCTTTTCCAAAGTAACATGTCCTTAGACTTAAATTTTGAAGTCAAGGTATTTTCAAAAATATTAGTTGGGTTAATCAGCAGCACTTAGAATCAAATATCTTTTAACAGTTGTTCCTCTTTCCTCAGCAGTCAAACAATTCAAAGACAGCACAATAGCATACAGTATCCAGACTCTGTATAATTTCCATCTTTACATGGATTTTCTTATTAGTCTATTTCTTTCACTTTTCTTTTTGTTTTTTGTTTTTTTGAGACAGGGTTTATCCATGTATCTTTGGCTATCCTGGAACTCACTCTGTAGACCAGGCTGTCCTTGAAATCATAGAGATCCTAATGCCTCTGCCTCATGAGTGCTGGGATTAAAGGCGTGTGCCCACCACACCCAGCTACACTATTTCTTTTGAGGACTTTCTCTATTCCTTTATTTTTTTGTTATCTTTATTTTTTTTATTTAGGTTAGAAACAATGTTGTTTCACATGTCAATCCCAGCTCCCTCTCCCTCCTGTCTTCCCCCTCTTTCCCCACCAGGTCCCCAAGTCCCCCACCCAATCTCCATTCCGATCCCCAAGGAGGGTGAATCACGCCATGGCTTCAATAACTGTCATTTCATCCAGGTCAGGGCCTAGGCCCTCCCGCAATAGTCCCGGCTGAGAGAGCCTCCCATATTGTGGCATGGGCACTCAAAGCCTATTTGTATGCCAGGGATAAATACTACCCAAGGCCCCATAGATTACCTAGGTCTCCTCACTGACACCCACATTCAGGGGGTCTGGGTCAGTCCCATGCTTTCCACACAGCCATCAATCTGGAGTCCAAGAGCTCCCCCTTGTTCAAGTCAGCTGTTTCTGTGGGTTAAACCAGCCCAGTCTTAACTCCTTTGCCCATCAGTTCTCTCTTTCTGACACTGGATTCCAGTTCAGTTCAGTGTTTGTCTGTGGGTGTCTGCCTCTGCTTCCATCAGTCGCTGGATGAAGGTTCTGTTTCCTAGACTCTCTGGCAGTGGGATTGTATGCTGGCACTCCCCTGATTCATGTCTAAAATCCATAAGTGATGAGCACATACCATGTTTCTCTTTTTGTGACTGGGTTACCCCACTCTAAATATATTTTTAAACACACTGTATACCATTTAGAGGTTTCTTTTCTCTTAATCAGTCTTTACTGTATATATCTTTTTTTGACCATGAGTCTTTAATGTGCTAAGATTAAAGCAGAAGTTTAATGTGCTAAGATTAAAGCAGAGGTTTTGGCTGTGAACTTTCCAATGTGGTGGGAGTATGTTTACCGCTTTGGGAGCTGTGCTTGCTCCCTGGACTCTGATCTATGCCATCATCAAGCAGCTTGTAGCACGCTGTCCCAAGCCCTTTTTGGTCTGTATGAGTAAAAGCTAAATCTGCCATGCAGCTCGTGGCTTGGAGATGGCCTCTGTTTACTGCAGCAGGAGTCTGCCATGCTGCCTCAAAACCTGACTGTCACAGCAGCTCTGTACCATGGCCCACATGAGACTGTGAGGCTAGGAAGCCCACCCTGGCTCTGTTTCTGTGCGTTCAGTACCTTTTTAAACTTTGTCAGGTTTTACATGGAAATTCTTGCCAAACATATGGGCACCATTTGATGATGGAGTTTTCTGTCCTGCTAAACAGTTTATAATTCTGCCAAACAGGTTATAATTAACATAAGCCTCTGTGTATTTGTTTGGGACTAAGTGACTGCAGGACCAGGCAGGACAGAAATTGTGTCATCAGATTAAGGTGTTCGGTAAAGGAAATTTCTCCTTAATAATTATAGATGCTATCTGAGCTCTCACCTTGTCTATAGCTTTCAATTCACCCACATTCCTTTCCTTAACAAATAGTTTTCAGTTGAGATTATTGAGATGTAGAGATGACAGGCCCATAAGGAGAAAGCTGTAGGCACAGAGTAGAGTCCACTCCAGAGAAGCCATGTGTTCTGTAGGAAGCCAAACTTGACTGTGAATCTGCACAGTTCCACTGGAGTCCAGATGGTTATATCACTAGCCCCAAGGCTTAAAACCTGGTAGTAGTAGTAGTCAAGCATCCAAAATCTGAATCACATTTCTCCTAAAAATGTGTACTACTTTGTTTTTGTCAACTTAACATAAGCTAGGAAAACTTTGAGAAGAGGGAACCCCAACTGAAGTAATGTCTCCATAAAAGTGACTTATAGGCAAGTCTGTGGGGGCATTTTTTTCATTCATAATTGATGTGGGCAGGTCCAGTTTGTTGTGTGTTGTTACCAGCTCTGGGAAGGTGGTCATGGCAACAAACAACCTTAGTAAGATATGAGGAGAAAGCCAGTAAGCAGTCAGTGTTCTTCCTTGGCCTCTTCTGCAGTGCCTGCCTGGTTTCAGATTCTTGCTTTGAGTTGCAATTCTGAGCTCCCTCAATGGTGAATGATAAGCTGCAATCACAATTAAACCAAACTCTCTAGGTTGTTTTTGATCATGATGTTTACCATAGCAACAGAAATTTATTCCTGTATTGTGGCCTGTAATAGTTTGACCAACAAGTTTAACAATGCGGGATTGATATAATTCAAAGTAGAAAGTAAATGACTGTGATCTTAAATTGTAGAAATAATGCAGGTGTGTGTGTGTGTGTGTGTGTGTGTGTGTGTGTGTGGTGTGCAATAGGCATATAGAATAATCCCATATAGCTAAAAGGACTGTTGTTCTCTGAAAGCACATTAGATACAAGGACAAAGGAATACCCCACATCACTGAAGTCAAGAGAAGAAATCTGGAAAGCTGCCTCTGCCAGGTACCAAGGCTTACATTATCAGCTTAAGTCTTGTTGACAGCAAGTACCTGTGAGGTATGTGTGCTACCTGAAGCACACATGATAAAAAGAAATGATGACATGTTTCCTTTGTTGGTGTCCTCCTAAAATCCCTAATTCTGGTTTAACCACAGGAAGAGCAAGTCTGTCCACATTCAAGGCCATCCTGCATGGTATTTCCTAACCACTACTTTCCAAATTCTAAAGGTCATTAACAAAGGAGAATTTCAGAAATGGTTTAGTTCAGAGAAGGCTGAAGTGACACAGTGACTAACTGTAAGGTGGTATTCTGCATGAACTCTGGGGGGCATAAATGAAAACCAAAACACTTGACTTTACTTTATGGTAATGTATTAACCGTGGGTCATAACTCGTGGAAAATGTAAGCCTGGGTGTTGGGCACACTGTAATTCCCATCGCTGTAGCCACTATTATATGATTCTTATGGTGTTCTGTTTATAATCCATTTGCCTTCTGAGGGCATTGATCTGTCATTTATTTTATCCTAGTATTCCATTAATACCAATCAGTTGGCTACAGCTTTTGCTACTTTTAGAAGTAAATATATTAGTATCTATTAATAGTTGAGGACTGTGTACATTTGTATATAATTTAATGGGAGGTATCCTATTTTTGGATAATTATTTACAGTAAAGGATAAGATGGCTGTAAAGATTGCATTTTAAATTTGAATATGATCCAGAGAATGTAGGTAAAGATATGCCACATAGCCAACAAATGTTAGTAATTATAATACATAATTAATGAAGCAGATTATCTGTGTTGTAAATAATTGTTATGGGCATAAAGTGGGTGTTCACATTTTGGTTCTTGAATAATTCTTATCCTGTAGTTTGTAAATATAAGAATAAATTTCATAGTTTATAGATAAAAAGACAAATTGTGAAGAACTTTCAGCTGAGAAAAATCTTCTCTTAAAGAAGAACTGAATAGTTGTTCAAATATCCAAAGAGCATTCTTAGTTTAAGAAATTATGCTGTAAGATACACACTTCAAATGCTTTGTAGAGTGGATGATTAATAGTTGCCTGTATAATTGACTTTTAACTAAAATAATGCCATCTTTCTACTAAAGTTCACATTTGATGTTTTATAATTTAAAAGCATGGATTTGAGAGAGATTAATATTTTTGATATTTTCAATAAACTTTTAAACATTGCGTTTTACTTAACATTTTAAAATTCATTTATTATATAATACTGTTTGTTTGCATTATTTACTTTTAGATTTCTGGGCTTCAAACAACACTGAAGAACATAGACATAGGACATATTCAGGTCCCTGTAATCAAAGGTAAGATTATAATATGATGAATGTCTAATTTCCTTTTTTTCTGATATTCAATAATGTATCTTTTTTTGAAGGGCTAACTGGAATTTTATTTTTTGTTGTTTTTTTAAATTTATTTTTAAATTTAAATTTAAATTAGAAACAAGGTTGATTCACATGCCAATTCCAGGTCCCTCTTTGTTTCCCTCACCTCCTCCCATGCCCTCCCACCAACCCCCCCAATATGAATGTCTAATTTCTTAGTGCTGACATGATGACATTTTAAATTTATCTGTGACAAGCTTTCTAGATATATTTAAGAGAGAATAAAGGTTGTGGTAAGCAGTATTTAAATAAACAGATCAATGGAAAATCTATATATGACATCACAAAGACTTACTTTAAACAAAAATATGTTTTAGGCACTGTAGAAAGTACCAGTCAGCCGGGCAGTGGTGGCGCACGCCTTTAATCCCAGCACTCGGGAGGCAGAGGCAGACGGATCTCTGTGAGTTCGAGGCCAGGCTGGACCGACAGCCTCCAAAACAATACAGAGAAACCCTGTCTCGTAAAAACCAAAAAAAAAAAAAAAAAAAAAAAGATTACTGGTCTGCGCACGCTGAAATTTCCTGGTACCTAACTAGCCTATCTTCCACAGATGTCACTAGAACTAAAGGGTAAATGAGGCAACAGACTTAAGGCATTATCACCCAAACAGTACAAGTCAAAGAAGATAAATTACAGAAAATAAGAATATAGACAATTCCAAATTCAACCATGGCATCATGTCTCAGAAAACTTCCAAAGCAAGCCTCATGGAGATGAGTGCCTAGAAAGAACATGGCAGTCTTGCTGAAATGAAAAGGGAAATTTCATAGTTCAGGGTTGTTGAAACAATTAGAATCTGTAGAAAATCTCATGGAAATGGAGTTGCAATGAAGAGTGGCTGCTTGAATATGGGTCCTTAGTTGATGACAGTGCCACATGTACACCACGGGTCTATGTAAGGCTTATTAGTGAGGGAAATTTCTCTAGGACTGAGAAGAGATTAGAAATCCTCCAGATCAAGTCCTGATAGGAGGTGCTGCATGGCTTTCTATGTCTGCTGGACAGGCTACTTTTGTGCGTCTTTAGTAGCACATTAACATTCAGCATCCCATACTTGCTTTATAAGACCAGGAACAAAGCTCATGTAGGGTTCATAATAGAATGAGTTTGCAGCTGGATTCTTACCTGGAAAACTTAGGGCCTTATATAAATTTACCCAAAACACAATAAAATTCACCCTTGAATTTCAAATTGACCAACCTCAAGCTGAACTGCTAGGTGAGGGGGATGGAGGAGGGCATCTCTTTCAGTCCACTCCACCATATGGCAGATGAGGGTTGTGTTTCGATCTCTCACACATGTTCATAAAAGCAGATCACCTGTGCCCTTGTTAAAAGGGTCTTGTTCTGCCCAACTGTCTTGTGCTGCCCAGGATAGGTCCTAAGTCCAGATCTCTTGAGTGCTGCAGCTGGTGAAAGGCAAGGTCAGCTCTCCCACTCTTGTGACCTTACAAGTGGCCCCAGCCTTATTTCTAAACTACATAATGAGAGTTTATCCATATATTGTAAGAAATTAATAATTCTAATAACTCCACATCTGACATGTTTGGCAAAATAAAAATTATTAAAATGTTTTCTGCCGGGCGATGGTGGCGCACGCCTTTAATCCCAGCACTCGGGAGGCAGAGGCAGGCGGATCTCTGTGAGTTCGAGGCCAGGCTGGACCGACAGCCTCCAAAACAATACAGAGAAACCCTGTCTCGTAAAACCAAAAAAAATGTTTTCATAATCTCATAGAGGAAGTATGTATCCTATGTAGTAGGCAAAGTACTTCCTGTTTTAATACTTATAGATGAACAGAACACAGTACTCCCTATCATACTTCTCACTCAGCACTGGAGGTTCTCCTTACTCCATACAGGTTAATTAATGAGTATTTAGTTTTGTTACTGCTTAGAATCATATCATGAGACGCTCATTTCTTGTGAGGGCACATAGATGATGTGGTCTAATTTAGAAGTTATTATCCTTCAAATAGTTTTTTTTGAACTCTTTGTGTTTTTCACTTTTATTTGCATGTGTGATTGGCATCCTCAGTTTGGCTTTTATGTATCTTTGTATCTCTAATATTTTCTAATTATCCCTCTGGATTACATTATGAATGATTTCTTCAGTAGCATTTTTCAGTTACATAATTCTTTCCGCAGCTGTGTTTGCTGTGTGTTGGTATCAAAGACTCACAATGGTAGGTTCTAAGAAGTTTGTGTTAGATGGGAGAATTCATAGTCCTATCCAGGGACCTGAGCATATTCAGTTAACATTGGTTGAACATGTGCATACTTGAAGGATAGCTGGTGAACTTTGACATGGAAAGACACAACAAATCAAATTGCTATAAATGTATTGCTTGCCTATTTACTGTTTTAAAACTTTATCCAGGAATCGTAGGTTCCTTAAAATGTTCACAGCCATATAAATTTTGAAACTGCAGGTCACCAGCTAGGACTATAGAAGTTGTTAATAAAAAGCATCAACAGGTAAGCCTACAGATGGGGCCATGAGGACATGGGCTTTGCTGGATATTGCTGAACATTACAAATATTATATGTAGTTTTCTGTGAACCCTGCAAAGACAGTAATGTCTGAGCCTCTCAAACATTATACAAAAATTTATATAAGGAAAATATTTATGTGATAGGGAGTAGAAGTCATGTCTATATTGCTATATAAGCAAATCAGAACCGTTGTTTCTCTCCTAGGTTAATTCATATTCTGCAATGTTTATTCTCAAAATATTAAATATTTTAAACCTTATTTTTGTAATTTTGTCTACTAAATAATAACACACAGTAATAAATCTATGCCTTTCGTATGCCATTTTTCCCATTTGTTTGCTAGGTTCTCGTCTTTTAGTTTCCTTAGAAAGTGATGCTGCATGTGGTCTTAGTGCTGCATGAAATCTACTCAAGTGCCTGAAAATAATCACTTTGAGAGTTGAATACTTTCCTCAATCACCTTCTCCCTTCCCCTCTGTGGATATTATTGGATCATTCTTTTCTCATATATCAAAACAGCAAAAACTAGAGAATTTCACTGGATCATTGACATAACTGCATGAAATAATATGTATAATATTTTTGTGACAGTACCAGTCATGATGTAAAAGATTTACCTAAGATGATTATTTTCTTTTAAAATTGTCATCATCCTGAAAGCCGTGGTCTTTGAGAAGTGAATACAGTAAAAGGATCAGGAGTGAAAAACTTCCCTTGTCTCAACAGTATGTCACCATTGCTGTCCCCAGCAGGTTCCTTCAGACTTGGGCTCTCTACCATGAATCGAGTGCTATAACTCACAGTATTGAGCTATCAATGTATGTGCTAGTGAACACACCAACATTAGTTATTTTAAATAAATTAGGTACAGAGTGCAAATCATATGTACCTATATGTGTGTATAGAAAGATGTAAATGCAGAAGTCTTTTCCTGTCATGCCCCTTCCTCATGATTCCGTGAGCTTGCTTCTGTCTCAGGAGATCTGGGAGACAAAGCTACAACTATAGCCATGCAGTCTTATGTTCATTGCTATCTGTTCTCAACACTGAGAGGCATAGATTAAAAATTAAGTAATCTTTAAAACATTTGCCATTTATTTAAAATATTGCCATTTATTATCATTTGTCCTTTGGCCTTGGTCAACTTTGTTTATAAGTACACGAAGTCTTATGGTGGAGGAATCTGAATATATCACGATAGGAGACTGCTTTCATACTCTGTAGCTGGTTCACCATCCAATGTTACTAATCTTCTAAGGTAATGCCACCTTAAATTTTGGGGCACTGAAATTTGAAACCCATCTTAAAACATTTTAGATTGTTTTATTATTAGTTTAGTACCTTTATAATTCATATAATAATAGAATCTTGGAATATTTTGGTTATAATCATATTTTGAAAACAATGAGACTGGGCATGGTGGTGCAAAACTTTTTTGTTCATTTATTTGTTCTTGTTTGTTTTTACATCCAACCAAAGTTTCTACTCCCATGGGTATTCAGTCAGCCATGGTATATCAAGTTGCAGTGAGACTAGGCAGCTCCTCTTTCATTAAGTCTTGATGAGACAACCCAGTAGGAAGAATGGGTCCCAAAAGCAGAAAACAGAGTCAGAGACATCCCCTGATCTCACTGTCAGGACTCACACGAAGACCAAGTTACACAACTGTCACATATATGCAGAGTGCCTAGGTCAGGCCCATGTAGGGTCCCTGGCTGTCATTTTCATCTCTGTGAGCCCCAATGAGCCCAGTTTAGTTGGTTCTGTGTGTTTTTTGTGGTGCTCTTGACACCACTGGCTCCCTTACTCCTTTATCCCCCTCTTCTGCAGGATTCCCTGAGCTCGTCCTAATATTTCACTGTGGGTCTATGCATGGTTCCTTCAGTTTCTGGGCGAAGCTTCTTTGATGACAGTTGCATTAGGCACCAATCTATGAATATATCAGAATGTCATTAGCAATTATTTCATTGACTTTTTTCCCTTTTTGGTTTGTGTTTGGTTCTATTCTAGGTCTCTGGGGTATCTCCTAGGTTAGTGGGGGGGGGTGGCACTCACCTTAATACTAGCACTCAAGAGGCAGAAGAAGGTGGATCTCTGAGTTTAAGGCCATCCTGGTTTACCTAGTAAGTTATAGACCAGCCAAGGCTACACAGTGAGACAAGCACCTCCACAGCAAATCATGGTGGGGTGGCACTGGAAAGATTACTCCACGGTTAAGAGCACTTGTTGCTCTTGCAGAAGACCTGGGCATAATTACAAGCATTTCTAATTCTGGTTCCAGGGGAATCTGATGTCTCTTTTGAAATACTTAGTAGGCACCAGGCATAAACACAATGCATACACATACATCTAAGCAAAACACTCAAACACATAAAATAAGTAATAAAAAACATTTATTTGTGTGTTGGGGCACATACAAGTGTGGAGGTCACAGGACAACTTGTGGGAGCCAGTTCACTCCTATCACTGTAGGGGGCCTAGAGATCAAACTTAGGTCCACAGACTGGGTGGCAAGTGTGGGTAAACACTGATTTAGCTTACGAGCCCATATAATCATATCTTACATAGATAAATTTTAATACTCTCATAATGCATGTATTATAAGAATCTTGCTCTATAATTGTTTGTTATAATCAGATCTTTTACAGGTAAATGTTTTGCCTTTGTCTTGCAGTTGGTCACAGCTGTGAGAAAGAAAACAAGTCTGAAGGCCCTACTCAGAAATGTCTTCGTGAAGCCAGGGAAGAAAATGATAATAAAACAAAAATGAGGAACGAAAGAAAGGTATGCCAGTTGCTTATGTTCCTTCTAGCCACTATTTAACATTGTGATCATTACAGGAGTGCAATTTATACACTATCAGATTATGTACTGAAAAAGGAGTTCAGAGTTTACTACAAGCTCTTTTACAGGGAAAAATAGAACTTGGGCAAACAGTACTAGCAACTTGTTACTGTGATCACCTGCTTACTAGTGGTAAGGGCAGCTCTGTGAATCTGTAAAACAACCTCACCACAGTTCCAGGAGTCAGCAACCTGCTCATGTTTCTGCTTAGTTACCTCTGTCCTAAAGAGAAGCTTCCTTCTTTTCCTGTGGTCTATCATAACTTCCCTCATCTTCCTTTAAAAAAGCATAGAATAGAACTATGCATCATTTAATATGTATCTGTATATTAAATACATTTACATTGTAATCAGGATAATAATTAAAATCTATAAGGAATAAAAACACGAAAAAATGTAAAACATGTTGGGGGGTTGTATTAGTTATGTATCTGGTTACTGTGCTAAATACCCAAGGAAAACAATTAAAGGCATAAAGTGTTTTTTTATAGCCACAGAGTTAGGGAGTCATGACAGCAGGAATTCAGGCAGTTGATCAGATTGCCTCTGCAGTCAGAAAATGGTGAGCAATGGTGTTGTGCTCAGCTCCTTCCGTGTTTTATGCACTTCCAAGCTTCCTCCCACATTTAGGGCATGCTCCCCACATTTAGGGCAGGTCTTCCTATTGCAATTAGCCTAATGAAGACAATCCCTCATGGGCATGGGTGGCAGCTGAGCTATTCCAATAAACCACCTGTATGTGTACCTTGGCTTGTTTCCAGACCCTAAGAAGTTAACAGTCAAGACAAACTGTCAAGGGAGTATAGTATCTTGTTATAAAATTTCTGTAAAATTATGAATGTGGTAATAGTTTTGCATATGCAAATATCTGTTACTAGAGATACTATAACATCTGCATTCCTTTTTTCATTTTTAACGTTTAATGATTATTTGTATTGTGTGTGTATGTGTGTATGCAGTGTCTGTGTGTACACATGCCAGTATGTGGGTCTATGCAAGAAGAGTGAATCAGATGCCTTGCACTTGAGTTACAGGCATTTGAGGAGGACCCTGTCTGGTTATGTGGGTACTAGAATCCTAACTCTGCCCCTCACAATTGTGAAACATGTTCTCTTTACTACAGAGTTGTATATGTAGCCCTGACACTTATTTTCAAGTGAAAACATTTTCTTTTATAATAGCTTTTAGTAGTGGTCCAGAAGAAAATCAGTTTTTATAAGTTCAATGTATAGCATGTTTATACATAATATAACATACATACTTTTTCCTTTGGAGTATACATTGGAATCAGGTATTGTGTAAAATATTAGAGTAAAGTAAATAATATGCACTTTTAGGTTAAGCCTTAGATTCAGTGACCACTGATGATGTTAAGGTTAGTGCTGTTTTCCATCATCACTGTTTATTTGAGGTAGGTTCAGTTGGGTCAAAAATTTTGCTCATGGTAGTCCTCATCACTTAGAACTTTCTCTTCCCCTGATATACATATATACTCTTTCAGGTGGTATGCCATCCTTAGTGACAATTGGGTGAGATATTTATTAACTCCTGTAAGTTCTTACATTTATAATTCAAGGTTCACATGTTATATGACAAAAAGCTTTGGAAATACAGAACATATGAATATCAATGCAGAATATATTTTTATTTGGTGATGTATTACCACACATGACAAAGTATCTAAAATCTGAGACTTCAAAGAGGCTGAACTGTAGAGAGTGAATCTGCATCTTCTTTCTTCTTGGACCAATCATTTTGATTAATATTTAAATTTGCACTTATGCATTATTATATCCATCACAGTGTAATTGTTTTATTCACTTCAGATGGCACTATGGACTCTGTTATGGAAATAAAGACACATTTAGAGCATTTCACTGAACTGAATAACATTAGTATGCATATTCTCATAATTGGTAATGCTTGCATTTGTTTTAGAGTGCTAATTCTATTTTCTGTAAATTAATAAGTGAATTTAATAAAACACCAATGAAATGTCTTGTATGTAAATAAGTATGATTTCTTGCAGAATTAACTATTTATAATAGAGCCATGGAGTAGTAAATGGGCCCTGAAACATATCTTTAAATGTAGCTTTTAAATGTAGCTGCTCTTTCACACCTCATTACCTCCCTCTCAGCTGCCCTTCTTACTTAGTTTGTACATTGCTCTTTTTGGGCTGCTGGTTTCCTGAAGTATCTCCTGGAGTGCATTTCAAAAGGTAAATCATTTTAGTGTTTACACACCTGAAAAAAAATCTCATTGTGCCTTGAGTTAATATTTGGTTGATAATAGTTATCAATTTAAATTAGTTCCTCACTTGCATTTTGAAGGAACAGCCCTGTTATCTTAGATGATGCTGATGTTTGCTTTTGGTGTGATTCTTGTGTTGTGGGGAAATAAGCAATACTGTATGTGATGCAGCATATTATTGTGCCAATATTTGGAAAAATGTGACACTGATATTTAACTATATTTATATTAAAACTCTGTGTTTGATGTAGAGTGAACTTTCTTATCGATATGCCAAAAGCCACTGGGCTCGAGGTACAGAGATAGTGAGGGCAATGGAATGTGCTCCTTTTTGCTTTTGCCTCCTCTAGCTGGTCAGGTTGAAGTTGGAAGAGGCCGGGGATTTAAAAGGACTGGAGAAGTTATGCTTTGACTTGAACCACTTTGTGGTAACTTAGATTACTTTGGTCCTGCCAGATCCTGAAAGTCAGGAGGTCTGTGTCGTGAGGCCTTCCTAATACCTGCTTCTCCTAGAAACTCCTTGTCCTGTCACAGCACTTCCTAGTTTTTTCCCTGTCCATATTCCCCTTAAAATGCATCTCAGAACTTCTTTCCTACTTACCTTGTTTCCATTTCAGGCCACCCTCTTGGATACTTGATAAAAATAACTGTGGGTTAGTATTCCTCCTGGCATCAGAGTCAGTAGCCTTAGTTGGAAGGGAAGTTTGGATTTCCTTGTCACTGAGATCTTCACCTTGCTTTTATAGACTGCCGGTTAGGCATGGATCCCTACTGTGCTTTCCAGGCAGGAACAACAAGCATGAGACATCCTGGGGCAGGGTCCTCACACAGGTTTGGACTATGACTCATGTCAAGTCTTGGAAGACTAGGCCTCAAGTGAGGGCTTTCCCTTTAGAGGTTCTTGTGTACCCACCATCCCGTGTTTTCAAATGTCTTCTATCTTCAGTATATATGAAAAGAGTAAAAGAATCAACTCCTTGTAGTAAATCATTTAAAAATTTTCAAGGAGCCAAATACTTCCTCTGGGAAACAAAATGTAATGTTCTTTCTAAAAAGTCATATTGAAACATACTACTGTGGCTTGCTAAAACATATGTTTCTGGGAGACTTCTAACTTATTTTTCCTACTCCTTTAGGTGTTTAAAGAGTTGTCAATTATAACAGACCATATCAAGATGATGGTACAGTTTGTTTGCTTTTGTTTGCCATCTCTAAAATAACATGGAACATTTTATTCTTCAGCCCATAGTGCTATTTTGTCACATGGCATTTCATTTTTATTGTTCATTTGGATCTCTTTCCAATTCTAAAACTAGTAATAGGCACAATTATCTAGGCCTTAAGACTTACAGTATTTCATAAGTCTTAAGTTCCTTCCATATTCCCATCTCTTTGACTTGCATTTTGATGTATCATATGAACATTGCCTTTTGGTTGCCTATTGGGGAAATGACTTCATTGAATTTATTATGATCAAGTCACTGAATTTGTTTTTATTTTGAAAGCTTTGTTATTAATTTCCTAGATTTATTTCTTATTCATCATTGACTCTGTTTTCTTAGAAGCCTAATATGTCAGTTGATGTAATATTTACATGAATCTCCTTGACTTAGGGTTACTATTGCTGTGATAAAACACTATGATCAAAAGAAAGTTGGGGAACAAATGTTATATTTGACTTTATACTTCCATGTCACTTTCATCATTGAAGGCAGTCAGGGCAGGAACTCAAAGTCTGGAGGCAAGAGATGTTACAGAAGCCATCAAGGAGTGCTGCTTCCTGGCTTGCTCCCCATGGCTTACTCTGGCTGCTTTCTTACAAAACCCAGGATTACCAGCTCAGGGATAATACCTCCCAATGTGGCTGGGCCTTTCTACATAGATCACTAAGGAAAATATACTGTAGTCTTGCCTTCAGGCTAGTATTATAAAGGCATATTCTCATTTGAGAGTCCTCTTCCCGAATAACTCTAGCTCATGTCAAGTTGAACTGAAACTAATGAGCACACTTCTTCTTTAAGACTCTAATTGGACTTTTAATGGTCTACTGCTCCATTTGCTTCAGAATCTGTATATCTTCATTTTTTGTTTTTATTTTGCTTATTATTTTTCTCTTATTTGTGATTTTTTTGAGAATGTGTATAAAAATACATCATAGGTTATTAAACTGCCTACAGTCCATCGTTAAAGATACTTGTCTTTGTTTTGTCAGTACCTTGGCATATGGGAGTTCTGTACTGCTGGGTTAGCCTCAATTCTGAATAGTTGCCATTAGTGTCCCTGCTATTTTGACATTTATCTTTTACTATAGGAGTACTAAGGGGTGCCTCAGGTTTTCCCAGGCTTTCAGAGTCCATCTTTACACTTATGGTTTAACAGCAACCCAGTGTCTCCTTAGTAGCTGAGAGCAAAGTGGCAGAGAAACTAACGAATGACAGAGAGCAGACACAATTTTCCACTTGATGAATGTTTCTGTCATGGTAGAAACATTCTTTGTAGAAGAGGCCAGCATTTTTAGGACAGGAAGAAAAATCCTGGGAGTCTACCGTTTAAATTTCACAGTGAGAAAAAGCACTTCTGTTTCTGTGAGCCATTGGTTTTCATGACTGTGAGTAGAGCATTAGAAGCTATCGATCTTAAATAAGCGTAATAATTGAGCTTCCAGGAAGAGGGGCTACTCTTCTGTCT